AGACCCAGCTACCTCTGCTTGCCAGTGCTGGGACTAAGGACACGTGTCACCACACCTATTTTCTATTTTTAGAACAACTTAAATCCTACTTATGGTTTTACTTTGCGTTTTTTGAAGCTAAGATTTTTAAAACTGAGATTATCTTTTAACATTGAGTAATAAACTTTCTTCTTAAATTATGCTTTTTGAATTCACATCTACTTTTGTCCTGGCATTAATATCACCAAATTGGGCAATATTAATAATTAAGAATATATTGTATACTAGCTCCTTTCAACTTTTCCATGACATGAATTTTGTAGTTATATGTTTGTTAATTTATACTTTATATGCCATATCAGTCAATATTTACAAGTGTAAATGCAGTGGTTTTTCATATATTTACAGTTGTGTAATCAACAATGCTATGTAATTTTAGACTGATTTTCATCCCTAAAGCCCCATTGACATTAGTAGTCTGTCCATCTTCTGCTTTTGCCATTTCCCAGCAGTCACTCATCAACTGTTTGTCTCTGGATTTTCCATCTCTGAACATTTCAGATAAAAGGTGGCATATAGCATTATAGCAGTTTTGTCTGGCTTTTCACTTTTCACTTAGTGTAATGGTTTGAAATTCATTCACATAGTATTTGTACTTTATCATTTTTAGTGGCTGGAGAGTATTCTGTTATATGGATATGCTGTGGGACGGTCTGTATGTCAAATTGCTCTGATTGGTCAATAAATAAAACACTGATTGGCCAGTGGCCAGGCAGGAAGTAGGTGGGACAAGGAGAGAGGAGAATTGTGGGAAGCAGAAGGCTGAGGCGGAGAGACACTGCAGCCGCCGCCATGACCAGCAGCATGTAAAGATGCCGGTAATCCACCAGCCACGTGGCAAGGTATAGATTTATGGAAATGGATTAATTTAAGCTATTAGAACAGTTAGCAAGAAGCCTGCCACGGCCATACAGTTTGTAAGCAATATAAGTCTCTGTGTTTACTTGGTTGGGTCTGAGCGGCTGTGGGACTGGCGGGTGACAAAGATTTGTCCTGACTGTGGGCAAAGCAGGAAAACTCTAGCTACATGGATATATAGTAGTCTCCCCCATCCCTTATTTATTGGCAATATATTCAGAGACCCTAGTGAAAGACTCAAGTTATAGATAGTATAGTACTCAGGATAGCTATGTTTTTTCTATACCTGCATACCTATGATAAAGTTTAATTTATACATTTGCCACAAAAGAACATGAGTAAGAACATAAATAAGATAGAAAAATCAAAGCAACCTTATGTAATAAAAAATTATACCAATTTATAAGTTACTTCTAAAAATTTCCATGTAATAGTTTCAGACTAGTTACTGTGAAACTTCAGAAAGCAAAGTTATGAATAAAGGAAAGCACTAGCATATTCCACTTTTCTCATTTGTTGATGGATGTTTGGATTGTTTCTACTTTGTTGTGAATAATGGAGCTAGAATCATTGTGTATAAATTCTTATGAAGATGAATGCCTTTATTTTTCTTGAGTAGAACTGCTTGCTAAGTAACTTTGTTCATGAATTTGAGGGATTTTCAAAGTATTCAATAGTTGTTGCACACCTTCACAATTCACAGCCTGCTAGTTTTCCATATCTCACCACACTCTTATCAACCTTTGGGTAGGTCTTTCTTTCTAGCTGTCCTATTGAACATAAAGTGGTATCTCATTGTGATTTTGGTTTTAATGTCTCTGATGACTAATGTTATTAGCCATCTCTTCATGTGCTTATTGCCCATTCCTGTATTTCCTTAAAGAAGTGTCTATTCAAATGTTGTACACATTTGATTGACTTGTCTTTTTATTGTTTGATTATTATATACATATTTTGAAAATATCTTCTCTAATCTTATGAGCTATCTTCTCTTTATTGATGGTGTCCTTTAAAGCCACAGAAGTCATTAACCTTGATAGCATCCTGTTTATTCTTTCTTTCTTTCTTTGTTTTTAATGTTACATATAACACTACCAACTAAAATCAGTGGGTGGTTTGAATGAGAATGGACCTGATAGCTCATATGTTTGATTAGTTGGTCTCTAATTTGTAGGACTGTTTAGGAAGGATTAGGGGGTGTGGCCTTGCTGTATGTGGTATGTCACTGGAGCGAGAAGTTTGAGGTTTCAGAAACCTAAGCCATTCCGAGTTTGTTCTTTCTTCCTCATGCTTCCTCGTCAGAAGTAATGTTCCAGTGTCGTATCAGCCTGCCTGCTGCCATGTTTCCTGCCATGGTGGTCACAGACTCACCCTCTGAAACTGTAAGCAAGTCCCCAATTAAATGCTTTCTTTTATAAGTTGCCTTGGTCCTAGTATCTCTTCACAACAATAAAAAAATAACGAAGACACCAAAGCTATAAAGATTTACTTCTGTGTTTTCTTCCAAGCGTTTTAAAGGTGATGTCTCTTGCATTTAACCCTTTAATCCATTTTAAGTTAGTTTTTGTATGTGATGTGAGTAGGGGTTGAACTTCATTGTTTTATATATGGGTACTCAGCTATACTGGTTCCATTTGCAGAAAGGACAGTTTTTCTTGCACACTCATTAGCCTGATTGCTGAAAATCAGTTGACTATTAATATAAAAGTTCATTTCTGAACTTCTTACTTCATTCCATTGGTCATGCCATGAATGTGGGATCTTATCATAAGTTTTGAAATCAGACAGTGTGACCAAATTGATCCTTCTTTTACAAGACCATTTTGACTGTTTTATACCACCTCACATTTCCATTTAAGGTTTTTAATGATTGATTTCTGTCCAGAAAAGTACTCAACATTTTGACGGTCATGCTGTATGTCTTAGAGCCCTTTAGCTTAAATTGTATGCATTTGTTCTAAAGCAGTCTAAGAGTTTGAATCTCTTTGTATCACTTCTTATTAGAAATGTGTCTGGATAAGATCTAATTTATATTTTCTGTTTACAATGCTTTTCCCCTTTTTCTTCTCTGCCTCTCTTCCTAGGTTCTATCAGATTGTATGTTTTTAAAATTCCCTCTTTTTCTTTCAACTAGTCTAGATGGTATATAATGCAGTCCTCTTCTTTGGAGGGTTATTCTTATGTGTGAACATATTAATTTTCAATTACTTTTCTGGAGTTCCTGTATTGTTATTTTTAAAATTCTTCTATTGGTCATAAATGTCCTAATTATATCTCTCTCTTTGTGAATGATTCAATATCATTTATTTACTTTTCACCCTGGTCTGATTCCTTTCCCTCTTCCATTTTATTATCTTGGATTATGAATCTTCCTTGTTTTTCACCTCTATACAAATTAGTCATTTTGTTTCTTTTAAAATCTTTCTCAGTGCTAGGAATCCAACTCAGGTCTTGTGTCTGCTGTATAAAAACTCTAGTTTTGAGCTCTATACCCAGCCTCAGTTGGGCTTTGCATGGAGGAGGGATCATGGTTAATATATTTATTTTCTCCCTTTTTTATTAGTACTTTGAAAATTTCTATATGATGTGTTTTGATCATATTCACCCCTTCCCCAACTCCTCCCAAATCAACTCCTTATCTGCCTGTGCAATTTTTGCCCTCTTTTATTTGTCACTGTGGGTTTTGTTAAACCATCAAGTTGGTATGTGTGTATACACTCAGATGTACGGCCTTCCACTGATTGCCCACAGCTCGTCATGTGGAAGGGGACTTCTTGACTTCTTCCCCTCTCCATGCTGGGATCTGTCTGGCTCAAGCCTGAGTGGGTCTTGAGTTTATTTAGATGTAGATCATGTTTAGTAATTTGCTTATCTTCACTCATTTTTGGTTTTTCTTTTAGGTTAAATCTTCTCTGTAGCATAGTATTTGGTAGCTCTTTCACAAGAATTGTGTTTTTTAAATTCCCTTTTATTTTGAAAGTTTTAATGATTTTCTGATAATCAGGGAACTCAACAACTGATAAAAGCAAACAATTCCAAAGTTCCCTTGCTGAATTATTTCAATAGCCTCAGCCAACATAGACCCAGCCTCCAACTTGGGTCGTACTAGTTTGGGGTGTAATTTAATTGATAAAACTTTTCTGTGCACTGCTATTTGATAAGGCATCTATTGCTGCTGATTGTCAGTGCTCCAAGAGCAGATGTTGTCTTGATTTCTAGGCCTGTCCATTCATTTTGCTTGCTTTTGAACTTTGCATCAACTGAACTATATGTTGAAAGCATTGTTTTACAGGGTTTACTTTCCTTGTGCATGCTTTTAGTTTTAGTTATTCTTGACTAGTGAATGTGTGTATGAGATCCTGTGTGAGTCTTTACATCAATTGCTCCTGCCTTTCCTAGTTTAGGAATCCTAGGAGAATCTTTGTGTTGAGTATTTGATTTGGAAATCCATTCTCAGAGACATACCTTTGGATTTCTACTTCATTGGTTTAGCTGGATGTTCTCTTTATTTCAGGATCACTGCTTTTGCCATCTCATCTGGCAGGCCAGGTATATGACACCTGCATTTGTGCTCTGTTGAGGAAAGTTTGCCTGTTTCTGTTGATAGTCAGAAAAATCCTGTTGTCTCCAGGCCCTATCTGACGGTGACACAGCAGAGCACAGGCTTTCTCTTTTCCTAGCCATAAAAAGCCAGCTGTGTTTCTCCAGTGGTGCCTTGCTACAAATGTTGGGGCAGGGGGTTTTACTATGTCAGTTCCCACCCATGCACCTTTGCATTCTACATGCTTCTGTTTTCCTTAAAGCTAGATGTTTGTAAAAGTTTTTTTTTTTTTAAAGATCCTATTATTTTTATGATTGGTGAAGGTGCATATAAGAATATTTAAACTAGCAGCTCCTTGTCTGGCCATCCTACTATTCCTGGAGGCTGGCAGATTAATGCCTTAACAGAGACTGTGCAGTGGAGGGCTAGACAGAATGGTCTTGTTTAGGGATATGGGCCAAAGTTTTTCTTCAGCTAAATTATTAAACCACATAAAACCCATTTTAGTATATTGAACAGATCTAGAGCAATGAACTAATTCATTTTTGATGTTTCTTTATAGATGCAAGTTTCCAAAAATAATACTGAAAAATATTATTTCAAAAATAATAAGAAAAAGCCCAAGGTTAGAAAGAGGAAAAGGTATGTTTTGTGAAATTAAAAGTATTAGGATATAATTAAGATGTATAAATTGTATTAATTATTGTATGACATTTTCCTTGATTTTTTTTCTTCACTGGGTAAACATTGTGCTTAAACCTTTTTGAAAGAATTAGTAAGTTAGTAGTTAGAAGTACAGAGAAAGTTATGCTTTATTTTGCTTGGTCTGGTTTTCCAACAGGGTTTCACTATGTGGCCTTGGCTATGTTCAAACTTAACAACCCTCCTAACTCAGCCTCTCAGATGCTGGGATTACAGCTACCATACTTGGCTGAGGAAGTGTTAATAGTCCTATAAACATGTTAACCCAGAACTTTTAGAGATTATTATTATTATTTGAACAGCCATGTAAAAAAAAATGGTTTTTAGCTTAAAATAGGTAAGACAAGCTAGGGTCAACTCTCCATGATAAGGTGCTTCTCATTGAACTAGCCTTCACATGTGTTTTTCAGTATGTGACTGGGGCTGTACTAGGATTCCCACTCACAGATAAAGACTAACACTAAGCCGGGCGATGGTGGCGCACGCCTTTAATCCCAGCACTTGGGAGGCAGAGGCAGGCGGATCTCTGTGAGTTCGAGGCCAGCCTGGGCTACCAAGTGAGTTCCAGGAAAGGCGCAAAGCTACACAGAGAAACCCTGTCTCGAAAAACCAAAAAAAAAAAAAAAAAAAAGACTAACACTAATAGTCCTCCTCTTGTCATGACTGTGCAGAAGAAAGCCATTTTTAACATTATTTATTTATTTCATTTTGTTTCGTATGTATGATGTATGTGGGGCATGTGCATTCGTAGTGCATGTGTGGAGGTTAGAGGACAAGTGTTTGGAGTCAGTTCTCTTCTGCCACCTTATAGGGTCTTGGTAATAAACTCAGATTGTCATTCCTGTGCAAAAGTATCTCCACCCACTAGATAACTGATTCTTTTTTTAGATTTTCAAGACAGGGTTTCTCTGTGTAGCTCTGGCTGTTTCAGAGCTCTCCATGTAGACTAGACTGTCCTAGATCTCACAAAGATCCACCTGCCTCTGCCTCCTGAGTGCTGGGATTAAAAGTGTGCACACCACCACTGCCCGGCTAGATAACTAATTAAAAATGGACTTTTATTTCCTTATCTCCGTCATACACCACAGTAATCACGTCACACACATTTAGGGCATTTACAGTTACCCCATTTAAGAGGTGAAGAGTCATGGCTTGGAACTTTTGATTGGCAACAGTGCATTGGCACAGATGTTTTCTGTCTCTTGTCGGGAGCACAGTGTGATGGGGAAGTATGGCTTTGCCATGTGACAGAACAGGTTCTGTCGTGGTCAGCAGTTCACCTATGCTGCCAAACTTCTAATTTCCTCTTGTAACTCCAGTTCCTCAACTTCTTTACATAATGAGAACAGTAATTACTTGATATGTTTTTGGAAAGTAATTACATGAAGATTACCTGTGCAAGTACTTGTTGGATTAGCTTCTCGGTGCTTTGTAGCTACTGAGAGTGCAGGTCGTATTTTTGTTCCTGTTTCTGCACCAAATTGTGCTTTGTGAGACAACCAAGGAAAAACACCAGAAGACTGAGACATACAGTCACAGAATTCAGTTACCAAGAGATACACATTTGTATATGTGCAGTAAATGTATACGTGTGTTTGTATGTGCATATGTGCTTGCATGCACATTTATGCCTGTGTATGTATATATGCATATCCTTATGTGTGGGGTCACTTGTTTGAAACTAAATCTGTCAAAATCTTTTTCAGGAATGCTGCTTTAAAATGTTCTGTTGAAAATGTTTGTTCTGATGAAGCCTTATCAAAGGAAAACATGGGTATGTGAAGGCCTGGGATGGTTTTAGTTTCTTTTGCCTGGATATAATTTCAAAAAGTGTAGTTCTAAGTAGGACCCATAGGGTGTTTCAGAGACTAAAGTAAAAATCAGGGAGCCTGCATAGCACTGTACTAGGTCCTATACATCTATGTTATGGTTATTGGCTTGGTGTTTTTGTGGAACTCCTGACAGTGGGGGTGGGGGTGTCTTTGACTCTTTGGCCTGCGCTTGGAGCCCCTTTCCTCCTACTGGGTTCCCTCACCTTGCCTTGATGTGAGGGTTGTGCCTGGTCTTCTTGTATCTTGTTGTTCCATGTTTGGTTGGTGTCCCTGGGAGGCCTGCTCTTTTCTAGGGGGAGACAGGCTGGAGCAGTGGACCTGGAGAAAAGGAGAGGCGGGGAGGCACTGGAAGCTAGGAGGGGAAGCTGCAGTCAGGATATATTATATAAGAGAATAATAAAAAGTATAGTTGGCTGCTTTTAAAAAAAGCTATTATACATGTATATGAGTAAAAGGTTAAGGTCATTTTGGTGTCAAATGGGAACTTTTCAATTTTCTTTAAGTTTCTGTCTCTTTAATTAAAATTTCTCTGAAATTGCCAGATATTTAATGTTTTAAAATAAAGTACTAATAGCTGTAGAAGAAAATGCTAGCAACTGTGCATCAACCCAGACCTCTTCATCCCAAACCTATTGGAATCCAAAGAAAGGGGGGGGGCAGAATGGACATAGTAACAGTCTAGGGCCTAGGCTGAATTAACTGCCTTAGTTACTTTTCTATTGCTATGATAAAACACTATGGCCAAGGCAATGTGTTTAATTTCGCTTATGGTTTCAGAGAATTAGAGTCCATGATAGTGGAGCAAAGGACAGTTGAGAGCTCACATCTTGATCTACAACCAGGAGGCAGAGAGTCTTTTGAATCACAGAGTCTTTTGAAACCTCAGAGCCCACCTCCAGTGTCACACCACCTCCAAGTCATACCTAATCTTTCCCAAACAGTTCCACCAACTAGGGATGAAGATTTAAAATACGTGAGCCTGTGGGGTCATTCCCATTCAAGCCACCACAGTATTCGATACATTAGAGTAGATGTGGAAGGCAAGCAGAGTTTGGCTCTCATGCTGCTGATTGATTCTTCCATTGTCTTGAGTTTTCAAAGGCTGGATGATGCTTACTTGCAGTCCTGTTTAGAGCTCATCATGTCAAGACCTTCCATTCCCAAAGCCACAGCTTCACCTCCACCCAACACTAAGCAGCCCAAACAGAGACAGAATGAAGGATTGACAGTGGGGATTGTAGCAGGACAAGTAGAAGCAATATTTGTACTATAAATGTGAAAATATAGAAGAATGTCAGTTGCAACCAACTTTTATTTTGGATGCAAATTGGGATATGAATTGAAGAAGGCTTAGAGAAACCCAGCCCTTCCTAGGGCCTTTTGTCAAAAGAAACTCCATTAAGTACTGTAAAGGATGTTAATTTCATGGTAAGTCCTTTACATACATACACTCAATAAGTTTTCTTTCTTTCTCTGAACAAGTTACTCAAGCACTGGAATAATGCTGTGCTTGAATATGGAATGGTCCTAGAGGCTAATGTTTCCAACGCTGAGCCTCAGTTGGTGGTGCTGTTTTGGAAGGTTGTGGAAACTTTCTGGGAAGGGTAAATCTGGAGGAAGTAGAACCATAGGATGTGCCCTGGAAGAGTGTACTAGCTTCCAAGTCCTAGTCCCACTCTGATCCCTGCTCGGCCCTGCAGTGAGCATGTGTGCCCTGCAGCATGTGATGTTTTACCAAGCATCAGGCCAAGCAAGCAGGAGCTGAAAACCCAAGTCTGAGTTGGAATAAATCTCTGCTCCATAAGGTGTTGTTGTCGGGCATGTTGTCACAACAATAAGAAAATTAATCCAAATAACAGTTGTCAGGTCCCTTCCCAAGTGGAAACTGCCAGCCAGATATCCCCTTGGCAGTCAACCAGATGGCCTCTAAGACAGCCCAGTTACTTCAGAATCCTCCACTAGCACCATAAGTAACATTTCACTCTAGCAACAGGGTACATGGCTGCTGACACCAGGACTCCTGCTCTAGAAGGCTTTGCTCCAGTCATGACCATCCTAGACATTCTGTATGGGTCTTGGGAGATACCACTTTTAAGATAGGACTCAGTCTTGTCATCAAAAAAGCTTCTTTTTATACCAGTGAGAGGTACCCTTATCTGTGGATATAGGGATAAGTATTAGAATGTAGTTAGTAATTATATTGGTTGAGGAAAGTACTAATAGTAATTTCTCCTCTAAGATCCAGGACCTCAGTAGCCATGGTAGTTGGCTAGGTTAACACTATCAGGCATGATTTCCCTGTACAGATGTGAAAACACTCAACTAATCCATTTTATTCTTTCATCTCATTATCAACAATTAAGAGCATTAATCGCTAGGCCAGTCCGTTTGCTCTTTCTCAGCAAACAGTGGTTCCTTCTCATTGTTAACATTCCTTCGGATTGGGAATACGGCTCCATTAGTAGAGTGTTCACCTAGAAACCATGAAGCCCAGGATTCCATGCCCAGCATAAGCTTGATATGGTAGCACATGCCTCTAAGGTCATCCTCAGCTACATAGGGAGTTTAAGAAAGCCAAGGATACATGAGACCCTGTGTCAAAACCTGAATAATCACCACCCATTGAAAAAAGAGAACCTTAAGAGACTGGAATGCCCAACCCTAACTGGGATCTCTACCACACCCATGCATGAAAGGCTTAGGGATCATGGTGGAAGAGGGGTCAGAAAAATCCCAAGAGCCAGAGGTGTGGATGACTATAAGGAAACTGTTTCCTGGACAAAGCTGGGCAGTTACATGTGGAATAATCCTTCTGTACACTGTGAATATGTGTTACTCTCATTGGCTAATAATATTATTTTACACTGTGTGAATATATGTCACTATGATTGGTTTAATAAACAAGCTAAGTGGCCAATAGCTGAACAGGATAAATTTAGGTGGGAAAGCCAAACTGAGAATAATGGGAAGAGGAAGGGCAGAGTCAGAGGAGTTGCCAGGAGACACAGGGGAAGCAAGATATGCTGGAGGACAGGTAAAGGCATGAGCCACATGGCAATACATAGATTAATAGAAATGGGTTAATTTAAGCTGTAAGAGCTAGTTAATAATAAGCCTGAGCTATGGGCCAAGCATTTATAATTTATATTAAGTCTCTTGTTAGTTGAGAGCAACTTCAGGGACACAGAAAAACTCCACCTATAGTTAGACTTATGAATTCACAGCAGTTTGAGACATCATGCACAGACTACAGGTTCATGACAGACAAAATTCCAGAATGTGGAGGGGAGGGAGGCATGAAGTCTCACTCCTAGCTAAGACGCTCTAACAACTGACAGCTCTGGGAGGGAGAGATTCAGTTTTCATTAAAGGTGTGGCCAGGGTGGGTAGACACCATCCTCTAGTGAAGGCTACACAAACCAGAGCATATAGACAGCAATTGGTTAAAAAAGAGAGAGAAAGATGGCAAGTTGGGTAGGTAGAAAGGTGAGATAGATTTGGACAGAGAGGGGGAGGCAGTGGATTATATCAAAACACATCGTACAAAAATCTCAAAGAACAAATGAAAATGAGAAAAATGAGCAAATAAAAATAAATACCCAATAGCAAGCAAGAAACAACAAAAATACTTTTCAAACTTTAGTTTCTATCAATATTTCTGTGGATCCCTATTGCTAAAATTCCTTCCCTTGGGACAAGTATAATGTGAACAATGCTACTCCCTCCTCCAAAGGTCTTAACAAATCAAAGTCTAATTCACCCTGGGAAAGAAATGCATTGACTGAGCTTTCATACAGAGCATGGAGAAGGGGTTACTGATGGGAGCATGGGTGACTCCAAAGCTGTCATCCTGGACACACTGAGGACGGCCACCCTTGGTTTTTCTCCAACCTCTATACTCTATCGTGAGACTCCAGGGTCATGTGAAGTTAGGGCAGCATTATGTAGAAATGCCTGGATGAAATGGCTGGACACTCACATTAAGATCCAATGACCTGTCCCACCCCTCCTTCCAGAGGGAGTGCCAATGTCAACAGGCTTCATAGTGATAGACTCGTACAAGAAGGCATGATGATCTCATAAATATTGCAATAGTTTTGTTCAAAGGATAACACTTTAGAGCAACCTCTCTTTCCAAATGTCCATATCCCATTTCTTTATAGTATTATGGGTCTCAGGTCCAGTACTTATTGCTTGAAAGCCAATTCTTCAGAAAGGAGAGCTGGAGGGAAATAAAATCATGTTTATTCAAGGGCCAATCCATAAATATAAAGGTATGCCAGCATCAAAGCATCCACTTAGAGAACTCAGATATACACAGAGCTTTTATTAGAGAGGGAAAGATGGGCCAGTGTGCTCCTGTGATGGCTGTCTTCTGATGCCAAGTGGCCTCTCGTTCAAGGGTACATGTCTCCTTTTTTCTTCTCCAGCTGGTGCATTACTGGTCCTTGGTCTTCTGGAGCTACTTCCTTTTGCTCGATAGATAGTCTTTCTTTTCTACAAATTAAGCTTCATAGCAAGTGACAGGCTTTGTGTTACTTGATCCATAGAACTAAAGGACAAAGAGGATCATCTCATAGTGTGGTGTAATCTGAAGGGACCAGGCTTCTGGGGTCTATTAATGTAGAGGATTATTTAATAGCTAACACCTTAATTGTGGACATACAATCCTTATATTCTCCCTAGAGCTAGCAAGTCTCTGCCCATTTAGTCATTTCAGTGTGACTTCTCTTTAGAAGATGTCAAGCAAAGGGGAGAGAAATAACCTTACAAAGTGCCAAGTGCAAGGGAGCCACTGTTGCAATGGCTTTCAGTAAGGAGAAGGTAACCTGGGCCCCAGTTCTTGGCCTCAATTGTCTTACACACTCAGATGATACAATTGCTTATCTTCCTGCTTCAGATGTACTATTCTAGATAGGACCTCTCTCTCTCTCTCTCTCTCTCTCTCTCTCTCTC